GGGTTAACAGAATTCCTTATCCGGATTTCTGGTACGCAAACTGTAATATGGATTCATTCTTTTCCTCGATTCGGGATTAAAATTGGTGACTTGGGACACCCTAAATCTCCCAAGTGGCGACTCTGAAATAAATAAACCAATCCCGTTTCGATTGTCCTTTAATTGGAAAAAATTCCCTTGTACCCTCGCGGGTGCGAAAAAAGGAGGTGTGACAATAATAACTTAGTAACTAATATTGAATATATATGATAATCTCTAATGGGTAGGGTATTGAACTTATTAATATTGACATATGAATAATGGACTAAATATAAAGTATAAGAATTTCGGATTTTCGGATATCCATAAATTCGAAGTGCCAAATCCAATATCCAATCCGAAATCCAAAAATTTTAAAAATTAAATCCAAAATCCAAAAATCCAAACCAAAAATCTAAGAAATTCGGATTTCGGTTTGAATTTAGGTTTTGCCCAAAGTATGCCCACCCCTAGAAGAACCCCCTAATTTCAGAACGTAATTCGTAAGGACTATTTTCGGGTCAATGTCCTGGACAAAAACTCTACATCCTCTTTTTTTGACTTTTTTTTTTTTTTTGGAGGGTGACATGATAAAAGTGAGTGANATATATATAAAATCTAATTAATCAACAAAAAAGAATTTCCCAGCATTATTTGTGTGGAGATCGATTTACGGTCTACCAAAAATTAAGATGTCTAAATAAAGAGGGGGATCTTGCATCTATACCCGGTTTTGGGATCACAATTGAACCTGTACTCACTTTACTAAAAAAATAAATTACAACCCTACCCACTTTACAATCACTTCAGACTTATCGGGTCTGAAGTTAAAAAAAATAAGTATGAAGCGAAAAAATGGCACTTTAGATACAACAACAATAACAACCACCACCCAGTAAAATCCCACTAATGGGGTCTGGGGAGAGTAGTGTGTACGCAGACCTTACCCTTATCCCGAAGGAGTAGAGATGTTGTTTCCGAAAGACCCTCGGCTCAAGAAAATAAAAGGAAAAAAGAAGAAAATATTAGTATCACCATAGAAATCATATGTAAAATAGGAACAACATGAAATCCAAAAGAAAGATGCAAAGCAAAGCAAAAGAAATAACTATTAAATAGGTCATGTACTGAAAGGCGAGATAGTAAAACACAACATTGCCACTTGCACTTTAGATACACTTAAGGCCGAATAGGTCTGAAATGCTACCAATGGTTTCATGCACTTAAGGCCAATAATGCACTTCAGATGCATTTTAGTCCAAATAGGTGAAGTGCAACAAATGGTTTCATGCACTTAAGGCCAATAAATCTGAAGTGAAAAAAAATTGCACTTCAGATGCACTTAAGGCCAAAAGGTCTGAAGTGCAACAAACGTTTTCCTATACTTGGCCAATAGGCCTGAAGTAAAAAATTGCATTTCAGATGCACTTAAGGCCCAAAAGTGTGGAATGCAACAAACGTTTTCCTATACTTGGCCAATAGGCCTGAAGTAAAAAATTGCATTTCAGATGCACTTAAGGCCCAAAAGTGTGGAATGCAACAAACGTTTTCCTACACTTAAGGCCAATAAGTCTGAAGTAAAAAATTGCACTTCAGATGCACTTAAGGCCAAATGGTCTGAAGTGCAACAAACATTTTCATGCACTTAAGACCAAATAGTGCTGAAGTGCAAATTGCTCATAAACAGAAATTTGTTCTTCGAATTTTAACAATTCAATATACGATTTAATATCTAAATATAGTCCAAATGAGCTCAAATTTGAAACATAACCTCCAAATATCATTAAAAACAAACCTCAATCATCAATTTGTCAAAACAACAATAAATCTAACGAATCTATTTTGTAATTAAGAAAAAGAAAAGAAAAAAAAACCCCTAAACAATAGTAAATATAAAGCGCTACAATAGCTCACCACTGTAAAATATCATAAACTACCTTAAAATATGTTCACAAACACCATATAAAATCACTGTTACCCGAAGAAGAAGAAGAAGAAGAAGAAGAGGAGGAGGAGGAGGAGGAGGAGGAAGAAGAAAGAGGAGAAAATTGTATGATGTTATTTAAAAAGTGGGTACCAGTAAAAAAAGTTTAAAAAATGGTTACAGATTAAATGGAGGCAACCAAATTGGACGCGAGTGTAATTTTTACAATAAAAGATGGTGTGAAGTTTAATGGGGCATTTGCATCTATACCCGCTTTTTGTGTCATGTTTTAATTTGTGTCCGCTTTTGCAAAAAAAAAATTACAAGCGTACCCGCTTTTTCGCATAACTTCAGCATACAGGGCTGAAGTAGCAAAAGCAATCACGCAAAACTTCACCATTCTAGTAGCCGGGCCTGAAGTTTTTATTTTGTAACTGGCAAACTTCAGCTCTAGAGCTGAAGTTTTTGTTTTGTAACTGGCGAACTTCAGCTCTAGAGCTGAATTTTTTTTTTGTAACTGGCGAACTTCAGCTCTAGAGCTGAAGTTTTTCACTATATAAAAAATATTCATGTTGTCGTTAAGATTAGTGAATAAAGGAAGTCTTTAGTAATGCCTTGTTAGTTTCATCATAAAAATAACCCTTTTTTTTTCCGTTTGATTAAGACATGCAATTATCTGTACCTACTAAAGAGACTTGCCTGCTCAACTGCTATCCTAATTCAGGTCATTTGAAGCTATCAGCTTTTGGGGGATTTTGGACTGCTTACAGAAATTACCTTCCTGGTTCACATGGGAATTTGTCAGCTGATCGTCATTGGCAGTCATCAATTTTTCACTACTCAGTGCATTTCGAAATTCTTTTGCATGTAACCGTGGCAAATTTAGAGCAGAACTTTTTAAATATTTTTGGTTCAGTAAACTTCATTGTTTACATGAGTGAAAATTCTAGCCTTGAGGCAGCATTTTTATCTTACTTGAAGGTGCTGAGAGGCGGAGATGTAGTGTGGCAAGAAGACGTTTTACATAATTTTAGCTTTGAATTTGCCTGAAGTTAAAAAGGAAAAAATATCTTTGAAGAAAACGAAGGAGAAGAAGGAGGAGGAGAAAGATGGCTGAAGTTATTTAAAAAATGGGTACAAGTTAAAAGTTTTTAGAAAAAATGGGTACAGGTTAAATGAGGGCAACCAAATAGGGCGCCCTGTGCAATTTTTATAAGTTTAATGGAACTTCAATATATTTGGCCCAAACATTTTGATGACATTAGTTCTAAAGTAATAGCTAGGTATACTCGCATACAATAATTAATGTAAAATTTGAATTTGTTTCTTAGGAGCGGATCTAGAGAAGGAATTACAGGTTTATGGAAACCCAATAACTTTGGCTTAGATCATGTATACACGTTAAAGAACCCCACTAAAATTTAAACTCATAAAGTTCAAATCTTGTATCTGTTTCTTTATGTCTGCGGGTTAAAAGAAACAATATCCTATGTTATAATTAGTTGCAACAGACCTGTTGATTCAACAATAATTCTGGTAACATTTCGGTTTCTGTGATGCAACCTTATCAACTGCCACACTTTATGAATAATTTCATCACCTAATTGCATGCATGAAAATATAACAGATGATGAGATTCCATAACTTTCAGCTGCAGGAGCCAAATTTTCTTGTCTTTCTTAGACCAATCTACCTTCATGTTTTCACCAAACAGGAAAAAAAAAGAAATACCATTGTATGTCAGTGGAGGCCACAGCACATGATAATCTATGCACATAAGTTTATCACACTTTGTACGTTTTTTCTAAGGTACAAATGTCTTTTCTTATGTCAAGCTATAATTAGTACATAAGAAACCGCTTATATTACATGATTCATATGAATGGTGCTAATCCTCAATAATGTTTTTTTTCTAGCCTAGTTTGATTCAACCTTTTCCTGGCTCTCACTTGTCTTTTGAAAATTATCATTTTGGATTTTAGTTATGTTAGCTCATAAGTAAATACTGTGATGAAGCGATTGTAAGTTCTAACCACTCGATTTAATCGTACGAAGTCACAATTCACCCAACAAGATATTTTTTATATGTATTTTAACGTACACATATTAGTCGAGTGTGGTATTAATTAGAATGTGTCATATCCTTTGTATGGATTCCTCAACTACAAGATTAATTATTCTAATAAAAAGTTGCTCATATCCAAACACTTAGCAGAGTGATAAGTACTTATAAACAGACCCATGTAAACAAGGTACAGACTATATTGCAATTAATTGGCCTTGACTAATTTATCTTTTGGTGAAGAACTGAATAAATTTAATTTGCTTTGACCACTTTATTTGGTGAAGAACTGAAAATAAATTAGAAGCAGCTGTCAATTTATGCCCGTTGGGATGTCTGTAGTTGTTCAATGAGAGTTGGAAGAAATCTCCAATAGAGTTGGGGAAACCCCCCCCCCCTTTTTCTTTTAAATAATCCTAGGGTACAGATCAGCTTGTACGCATCCTAATCAGCACAGATATCGAATAACTTTGTTCACTGATACTTAGATAGATGAAAAAAAATCACCTAATATTTTTGTTTTCGCCGAAATTTGAATCAGAAACCTTATGTATACCAATAATTATTCGACTCATTGCAAGAAGAGGAAAAGGAAACAGAGAGAAGCAAAATATAGCATTATCAATTACTATAATTTTTTGAATTCAGTACCAATTTTTATAAATTTTTTGAATTCAGTACAACTTATTATATAAATTTTTGAATTCAGTCCCTTTGATGTCAATTTCTGAACTCTGACCTCTTTTATTATATTGACGAGGACAGTGTGTGTATGTATATAGTATGTTATAATTTGTTGTACTTTGTGTGCGGGAGTTGTTATCCCCATAAATAACTCACATGATGTCTGCCTATTCATGCCTCTGCTGAATTTTCTTTCTTTTTTGGGCAGTCTACTTAATTCTAACCACACAAGTTTCATAAAAGTAACAATTAAGTCCTTTTCTTTATACCACATGACCTAAGCATGGTTAATAATATTTCTCCTATTTAATTAGTGTGACACTATTCGCTTAGTAGTCCGCCCCAAAAAGATGATATATTCTATGTTTTGAAACAATTTGGACGTTAAATTTCTCATTTACTGTTACTTAGAGGTTTTTTAAGCCATACAAATGTTGACAATCTCATTTGATTATACAATTTTAGTACTTACAAATATTGAATTTCTGTATTTGAATCAATTGAAATTGAATTTCAAGTATAAAAGTTAGTTTCCCCTCATAGATCTCATTCTTCACAATTATTTTTCCAAAGTGAAGTTCATGTCTCATAACGTAATACAATTTTACAATTCATTTTTCAACTTAAACTTCAAATACTTTTCTTTTCAGCTCCAACTCAATTATTATTCAAATGCCTACTAAAATTTCTTTTTACAGGAAATACTGTATACGGTTAAAATCGGGCCCACCCGATTTGCCGATTTACCGAGACAAGTGTGAAGGATCGATCCCGTAATAGATCAGATCGAGGCATGAGGACAAGGTACCGAGTTTGAGATTCGAGGTACCTATCAAGATCGAGGCCGATAGTGATTGAGACAAAATGAGACAGACATCGAGCAAGATCGAAGATAGCATAATAACATAAATGCGAGATACCCGTGACTGGTCGAAGATCATGGCAGAATCTTAGAACGGATCAAATCTAGGACGGTTAATTAGCTAATCATGGGATTTCCTTCTGCAATTAGAATTATATCATAATTAGAATTCCTCTACTATATAAAGAGGAGTTCCAATCATTTGCAAGGGACTTACATTCACGCATATCAAAGCAATATAACACTCTTTTGGCTTATATTCTCTTGTTCATTAGCTTGCCTTATTTTTTACTTGTTCTGGTATCAATCAGCTCGAGGGCATTCTAACTCGAGAGTCGAATTTCGTCTCAACACTGGTTTGCTTTACTTTATTATTAATTTCTATCACTAATCTTCTTATTTATCGGTTGGTATTAGGTGAAATCCCGTGTCCTTAAAACCATATTATAAGTTTAATTGTTATCCAATTTTAAGAGTAAACAATTTGGCGTCCACCATGGGGCTAAGGATAATAGTGGCTGCTTGGTATTAATTCTCATAACACACACTGCTTTACGCTTGTTCTCGTAAGTATTTTTGATTTCAGGAATTAACATGTCAAACTCTCAAGTATCACCCACTCACATAGACAACGGCCTTGGTCTTCATGCCGAGAACGAAAACAAAGCCGCCCCCAAAAATGGAGTACCTCCGGTCAACCCTGATGGACCGCCGGTCGTAGACCTAGTCGATGTCAGCTCTCATATTGCCATTAATGGGAATTTGGGTGTAGACCTTGAAAATAGCATCCGCAAAGATGCTCGAGCAGCCGATCAGAATGCACAGAGCGGTGAAGAAGGCATAATTATCCTTCGAATGATATTCGAGATGTTGCAGACTCAACAAGCTGCGATAGCACAACTCCAAAACCAGAATCAAACACCAAGCAGAATTGAGCTCGAAGCATCACAAGAAGTTTTTCATAGAGCCGAACCTGTACCGGAGAGATTGAACACCAATGAATCGAGGACTGACCCTGCCATTATGAAAATGCTCGAGGAGCTCACTAAACAGATTGAATCAGTGAATAGAAAATCGAGGCAAATGACAAAAAGGTAGAAACGTACAACTTCCGGGTTGACCAAATACCGGGGGCACCACCGATCCTAAAGGGTTTGGATTCGAAGAAGTTTGTGCAAAAGCCTTTCCCTCCAAGTACGGCTCCGAAGCCCATCCCGAAAAAAATTTGCATGCCAGAAATTCCCAAATACAATGGAACCACCGACCTTAATGAGCATGTCACTTCTTATACATGCGCAATAAAGGGGAATGCCTTAGAAGATGATGAGATTGAATCCATTTTATTGAAAAAGTTTGGAGAAACTTTGTCGAAAGGGGAAATGATATGGTACCACAATTTGCCACCCAATTCCATCTATTCCTTCTCCATGCTTGCAGATTCCTTCGTAAAGGTACACGCCAGAGCAATAAAGGTTGCGACTAGGAAGTCAGACCTCTTCAAAGTGAAACAAAAGGACAACAAAATGTTGAGGGAACTCGTATCTCAGTTCCAGATGGAACGTTTAGACCTACCCTAGGTTATAGATGATTGGGCTGTTCAAGCTTTTACTCAAGGTTTGAACGAACGAAGTTAGACAGCATCATGACAACTAAAGCAGAATTTAATTGAATATCCAGCTGTAACTTGGGCCGATGTACATAATCGGTACCAGTCAAAGATTAGGGTCAAGGATGATCAATTGGGAACCCCTTCTGGTTCCGCCTACCCAAATAGGCCCGTCAGTAGAATTCAAACGGACGTCGACAGAGAACCCCCATCGAACAGAGATCAGTATCAACAATACAATGCAGATCGTAGAAACAACGGCTCAGGACGTAATCTTGTTCTAAATGATCAAAGGAATAATCGAGGACAAAACTCCCGAGGGCTCATGGGTAAAAGTGGCTTCGATAAACATGTCGAGCCCACAAAGCACCACGACTATCAGAATATAACTTCAGCATCGACGCATCGGGTATTGTATCAGCCATTGGACGGATCAAGGATACTAGATGGCCCAGACCCTTACAGACTGATCCAACTCAAAGGAACCCTAATTAAATGTGCAAATACCATGGTACCCATGGGCATAAAACCGAAGACTGTATACAGCTAAGGGAAAAGGTAGCCCGTCTATTCAACGAGGGTCACCTTCGAGAATTCTTAAATGATCGAGACAAGAACCACTTCAAAAATAGAGATTCAAACAGACAGAACGATCAGGAAGAGCCACAACATGTGATTCACATGTCGTTAGAGGAGTCGATGTTCCTCAAGGACCGGTATTTACACGCACCAAGGTAACAATCACAAGGAAAAGCGAACTCGGGACTACTTACCAAAAGAAACTTTGTCTTTCAACGACGGGGATGCAGAAGGGATAGAACAACCTCACATTGACGCATTGGTAATATCTATCCTTATGAATAAAATTCAAGTTAACCGTGTGTTGATTGATCTAGGTAGCTCAGCAAACATTATTTGATTAAGGGTCATAGAGCAACTCGGCCTCCAAGGTCAAATCGTGCCCGCATCTTGAGTACATAACAGCTTCAATATGACAAGTGAAACCACTAAAGGGGAAATCATTTTGCCAGTAAATGTGGCCGGGGCTATCCAAGAAATAAAGTTCCATGTGATTGAAGGTGACATGAGGTACAACGTGCTGCTCGGAAGGCCTTGGATTCATAACATGAGGGAAGTGTCCTCGACGCTTCATCAAGTCCTGAAGTTCCTAACATCAAAAGGAATCAAAATGGTGTACGGTGAACAACCCGCCGCCAAAGAAATATTTGCAATCGACGAAGTAGTACTAGTATCGGAGCTTTCATCAACAAAGGGATCGAAGTTAAAGGGAAAGCAAGAAGTCAAATAGGAATCGCAGTCACCGACCTCGGCCCAATCGGAAGAGCAGGAAACTTTCGAGGACGATGATTATTCTGATGCAACAAAGCCAACGGTCGAAAATCTGGAACAAATCATACTGATCGAGCATCTGCCCGATCGAAAAGTAACCTGGCCACGGGGTTAACCTCGAGCTCAGAAAAAAATTCGTTCAATTCCTTTTAGATAAGCTTGGACCTAGATATGACAGGGATCCCACAGGATATCACTACGCATTGACTAAGCTGGACCTGAAGTTCCCCCGATAAAACAAAAGAGAAGTCCCCAGTCCGAGGTAAAACATGCATTCATTAAGGATGAGGTAATAAAGCTTCTCAATATAGGACCCATTCAGGAGGTAAAATATCCCGAGTGGTTAGCAAACGTAGTCGTAGTACCTAAAAAGGGAAATAAACTTATAATGTGTGTAGACTATAAGGATTTAAACAAGGCATGCCCTAAAGATTCCTTTCCTTTGCCGAATATAGATCGCATTATCGATGCCACGACCGGCCATGAGATCCTTAGTTTTCTCGATGCCTACTCCGAGTACAATTAAATACAAATAAACCCGGAGGATCAGAAAAAGACTTCGTTCATCACTAAATACAACACCTGTTGTTATAACGTAATGCCGTTTGAACTAAAAAATGTTGGTGCTACTTATCAACGCCTAGTAAATCGAATGTTCGAAAAACAAATAGGTAAATTAATGAAGGTTTATATTGACGATATGCTAGTGAAGTCCCTGCGAGCAGAGGACCATTTAAAATATTTGTAGGAAACCTTAGACATACTAAGAAAGTACAATATGAAGCTCAACCAGGAGAAATGTGCATTCGGGGTCGATTCGGGCAAGTTCCTCGGCTTTATGGGTATCAAATAGGGAAATCGAGTTCAACCTCGATAAAATCAAGGCAATAGAAGACATCACAGTCATTGATAATAATGTCAAGGCTGTACAAAGGTTAACATGGCGCATAACCGCCCTAGGTCGATTTATTTTGAGGTCCTCGGATATGAGTCACCGTTTCTTCTCACTGCTCAAGAAGAAGAGCAATTTCGCATGGACCCCAAAATGTTAACAAGCCTTGGAGGAACTGAAGCAATACCTGTCGAGCCCATCATTGCTTCACACCCCAAAAGCAAACGAGCAACTCTACTTATATTTAGCGGCCTTGGAGATAGCGGTAATTGGGGTCTTAGTTCAAGAAGAGCAAGGTACACAATTCCCTATTTATTATGTTAGTCGAACTCTAGGAGAGGCCGAAACTCGATATGCACACTTAGAAAAGTTAGCACTCGCTCTGATAAGCGCCTCTAGGAAATTAAAACCATACTTTCAGTGTCACCCAATTTGTGTTATAACCATCTATCCCCTTTGCAATATTTTTCACAAGCACGAACTCTCGGGTCGATTGGCTAAATGGGCTATCAAGATCAGCGGTATGATATCAAATTTCAACCCCGAACGACCATCAAGTCTCAAATCTTGGCAGACTTCGTGGCTGACTTCACGCCAACACTCATACCCGAGGTCTAAAAGGAACTATTATTAAAATTAGGTAAATCATCGGGGGTGTGGACTCTCTTCACAGATGGCGCTTCGAACGTGAAGGGGTTCGGACTAGGCATCATTTTGAAGCTGCCCACAGGTAATACGATTAGAAAGTCTATCAAAACTTCAAAATTTACTAACAATGAAGCCGAGTATGAGGCCATGATTGCATGTCTCGAGCTAGCAAAGAGCTTGGGAGCAGAGGTCATCGAGGCCAAGTGTGACTCCCTACTTGTGGTAAATCAAGTCAACAAAACTTTCGAGGTTCGAGAAGATCGAATGCAGAGGTACTTGGACAAACAACATGTGTCTCTACATTGATTTAAAGAATGACCCTATAACACGTACCTCAAGAACAAAACAGCGAGGCCAATGCCCTTGCAAATTTGGGGTTATCGATCGAAGATGACGAAGTTAGCTCGAGGACTGTCGTACAACTTTCGAGGTCAGTAATCGAAGAAGGTCACGCTGAAATAAACTCCATAAGTCTAACCTTGGATTGGAGGAATAAGTATATCGAATACCTAAAAAACGAGAAGCTTCCATTAGATCCTAAGGAATCGAGGACTCTACGCATGAAGGCCGCACAATTCACATTGGCCGAGGATGGAACACTATGTAAGAGAATGTTCGATGGACCGTTGGCGATATATCGGACCAGGAGACACCGACTACGTTCTACAGGAAATTTACGAGGAAACTTGTAGAAATCATTCCGGTTCCGATTCATTGGTTCACAAAGTCATCAAAGCAAGATACTATTGGGCCGATATGGAAAAAGATACAAAAGAGTTTGTTTGGAAATGCGACAAATGTCAAAGGTATGCGCCAATGATTCACCAACTCCGAGAGCAACTCCATTCAGGCTTATCCCCATGGCCATTCATGAAATGGGGGATGAACATCATCGGCCCTCCCCCATCGGCCCCAGGTAAAGCTCAATTTATTTTGTTTATGACTGACTATTTTTCTAAGTGCAGGACTTCGAAAAACTCAGAGAAAAAGAAATCATAGACTTCATTTGGGATCACATTATATGTCAATTTGGGATGCCTACCGAGATCGTAGGCGACAATGGGAAGCAATTCATCGGCATCAAAGTGACAAAAATTCTTGAAGACCACAAGATTAAAGGATCTTATCAACGCCATATCATCCTAGTAAGAATGGACAAGCTGAGTCGACAAACAAGACCATCATTCAAAATCTAAATAAAAGGTTGACCGACGCTAAAGGAAAATAGAGAGAAATACTGCCTGAGGTCCTTGGGCATATCGTACAATGTCAAAATCCAGTACGGGGGCAACACCATCCTCTTTAGTCTACAGTGCCGAAGCTCTGATCCCGATCGAAGTCGGAGAACCTAGCCTCAGGTTTCAGCATGCAATGGAAGATTCAAATCATGAGGCTATGAATACAAGTCTCGAATTACTAGATGAAAAATGGGAAGCCACCCTCGTTCGAATGGCCGCATAGAAACAGCGGATCGAAAGGTAAGCCAACCTTCGACACTTTAAAATCGGAACTTAATTTTGAGAAAAGTCACCCTCAACACTCGAACCCCGAATGAAGGAAAACTTGGCCCTAACTAGGAGGGACCATATCAGGTCCTCGATATCATCGGGAAAAGATCTTACAAACCTGGCATGGCAAATGGCGAGCAATTACCAAACAATTGGAATGTATCACTACTCAAACGATATTACTGCTAAGGTACGATCTTCTCCATTTCATTTACATATTATGTTAACCAATTGTAGGTGTTCGATTGAAGGCATCGAGGGATTCTTCAACACAAAGTCCTTAGGTCTAAAAGCACGCGTTGCACTCTTTTTCCCTTAGACAGATTTTTGTCCCAAATGGGTTTTTTCGACGAAGTTTTTAACAAGGCAACCATTGTTCGTGCTAACTTAAAGCAATTCAATAGTATCCGAGGCTTCTTTACAATCAACCTCGAATACTTGGGGCATCATCCTCGAATGTTATAAGGAAAGTACTTCGTGTCAACAGGGTCTCGATAGGCAAATTTTGTAAAGGCCAAACGGTTCTCGTGAACAAAGTGAGTCCTGAAATTAGGGTTTTCATACAACGCAGCGCCGCCGCTCTCACTTATAGCTTCTGAAGAAGAAAGATGGCTCACTCTAACATCTGGAATGCTCACCCTAAGAACTATGACCCTGGGTCTCGTACCTGCCGTGTCTGTGGGAATCCTCATGCAATTATAAGGAAGTATGGACTCATGTGCTGCAGACAGTGCTTCCACAGCAATGCTAGGGAAATTGGCTTCATCAAGTACCGTTAAATCTTCAATATGAGCTTCTACGAGGACCTCTCTCTGAGTGTGGTGCTGGTGGATATCTGGAATTAGAGTTTTTTAATTTTCATCTCCCTTCAGCTAAATGATGTAATGGGATAATTTTGATTTTATGTTAGCTTCTGAAATTGAACCGTTGTTGGTGGATAAAAAAAAGGCCAAACAGTCGAACGAATCATGCCCATGTAGATTATTCGAGCCCTAACATCAAACATGTATGCATGTATAATCATCTGTTAAGAGAAGTATTTTTCCTTACCAAATATTTCATGCCTTAAAAAATTTTAATTTACAATTTCGTACTTATGATCTATTGTGGAAACTGGCTTAACGGCTGATCACAACTAAAGTTCGAACAACTAACCCCGCACTCGGGGACTGCCGTCCAAAAAATTTACATGCTCGAATTACTAAGACCTAAAAATCGTAAGACCTTAAAAAGGCAACCCTTGATTTTATAGGCTACAGCCGGCCCACTCAGGGACTGACACTTCGAACAAGTTCGGAGTGAGGGAAACCAGCCCAAGAGGCAAATCCCAAGCTAAAGGCTACAACCAAACTGATACGGTTCGGAGACGTCCAAATTCCGTCATAAGACAGGCCTTCGAATATTTTCATAAAATCAGTTTAAAAAAGGCTACCCTCGATAGTATCGAATTATTCGAACTCTAGAACCATTTTCTCTGGTTCATACTAAGGCATTACCAAACAAAGGGTTTCGATATCACCAGCCCTCGAAAACAATGGAATATGAATACATATTTTTCTCATGCTAAGGCGTAACAAATTTATATGTGATTAAATTTTTAAGCCAAATGGGGTAGGAAGCCTTATGTATATTAAAACGACCGTTCTACAAAGGCCACATCAGCCTAATACAAAATACTAAGGGCAATCTTTTGCTTTGAGTTCGAGGGATCATCCTTACCCAATAAAAACCTAAGGTTTACCTTACTTCAAGTTTGAGCAAGTACTCATTCGACACTAGTTCTATTTCGATACAAAGTTGCCTAAACCTCGAACCTATGGATGCAACCTCGTAAGCCATCAATGAAACAAAAAGTAAAGACAAAACAAGGGGAAAAAATGACAAATTCAGAAAGGAAAGGAAAATTTTTATATCAAAGTTTTTCTTACAAGGGCCACATGGCTCGACCAAACACTCTTTATAAAGGCCAAAACAGTCTTAAAAGGAAACACAACTAATCCTAAAGGCCTAGTCTTCTTCCGGAGCAGCTTCTTCGCCCAATGAGTCATCTCCATCGGATCCGCCCTCATCCTCGGAATCCTCATCGGGAAAGGCTAACTTTCGAGGCTTTTCTTCCTCAGCCTTGACGATCTCGAGTTCAATAAAATATGTCGACACTTTGAGCAAGGATCCCCTCGAGAACCTCCCTTCGATCCTGTCACTTCGAATGATCAACCATCCCCCTGGCCTGCTCGAGGGTGTATTCGCTATCAACTCTGTATTGATCCATAGTAGCATGTGCCTTAATATTGGAAGCGGCCACTTCGGATCTGGCAACCTTGAGCTCCTTAGCCAGATTGGCTAAATTAGATTCGAGCTCCTCGACCTTCTTCGCCTAGACCGAGGCATTGTCCCTTGCATATCAAAGCTATGACTTGGCAGAATCCATCTCTAGTTGAACGGTCTCCTTTTGTGCAGCTAAATGTCCATACATCCTTTGAACCGATAAGCTTCAGCTTGCACTTCGTCTATTTGCCCTTGAAAGCCCTTGATCTGTTCGAGCCTCTGTCGAGCCTGTAGAATGGGATTGGTAGTCGTTATATCTGACTCGTCCTCACTATCATGAAGAATTCGGAATACCTGCTCGGCCATCTCTTCATGCGCGTTTCGAGCCTCCACCAGGTCCATCTGAAGCTTCTCATTGAGAATCTTATAAGTGTTTCACTTCTCAGTGAAACCTTAGACCTCAACTTTGCGTTCCTCTTGGAATCAAAAAAAGGCCTCGTGGTGCAACACCGAAGCCTACAAAAAAGGAAGAAATATTAGAGATATCCACAAGTCAAAGTCATGAAAAGACAATGGTCCTTGAACTTACCCGATTTAGAGGATGTTGGGCCTCGTTGAACAAGTATGCAACATCTACTGCATTCATTTTGGCTTGGTCCTCCTTAGTGACCAAGCATCGAAGGTAACTTGCCACCCCTATGGGGGCAGATAAAACTTGTGTATCTTCCAGGATCAAGATGATAAGAGGCCACCTTCGATCGGGGTCAATGCTGGGAGCCGGGAATTGGTTAGTCAGTGTATAGCTCGAGGAAGCCTCATTTGAGCTCTTCCTTAGTATGTCCAAATCACCCAAACCACTGATATCTTCCACATCAGCGAAATAGCCACGGAAAAAATCTTTCCCTCCATGGGCCCCCTCTCCCTGACAAGTCTCTACAGCCTGAGCATCACGTATCATTGAATTTGGAACTAGGGGGAATGAGGAGGAATCCTCGATCACTGTTGACCCAAGTGGGTTTGTGGAGGCATCATCTTTGTTCCGAGGAGCCTTGAGCTCGGTTTCTACCCCATATTTGACCGCTTCCTCGATGACCTTCCCATATCGAGCTGAGGCATCTTCGACTCTTGTTGGCTTGGGCTCATCAGACCGAGGCAAAGCAACTTCGGCTCCCTCTGTCTAGTGGTTCTTTGAACCTCGATGCCAGACCGCACACGAGGTACCAATCCGAAATTTTCTTCTTTATCCTTATCTTCGGTCTCATTCGATAGCTGGTAGATGGACTCTAGAGTTACGGGGATAACGTCCCTCTTAGGCTTACGGGGCCTCCTAGCTGGCTTTTTCTTCTCCAGACTTGAGAAACTTGGAGCCTCTTTCCTCTCCTTCTCTTTGCCCTGCTTCGGGGCAGACTGGGAAAGGAGTGCCTTTTCTTTAGCAGAGGGGGGCCTCATTGGCACGTCCTTCCCGAGACCTACAATATAGAAAAGATAAGCAAGTAGAAATGATAAAGTCTGAATGGAAACCTTGCCAGGGAAAAAGATTGCCATGGTTTTGAGCCTCCCATCGCCCCCTTGACAACTCATTCCAAGGGCGCTTGGAATAAGTTTTTTGTGACACCAACCCCTCGACCCATTGCCTCAGGTTGGGGATCACTTCTGACATAACGACCTTGGCTGCAATACAAGAACTTAGATGAGGGGAAAATAAGATAGCTAAATGGTAATAATAGATACACAAAAGGACAAACAATGCTTACGTTTCTGTTCCATCTTTTAGGGAACGACATATCTTCGGCGGGGATTAGATTCAAAGTCTTTATTCGGAAAAACCTGCCCATCCAACCTCGGTCTCGAGCCTCGTCTATGCTTGAGAACATGAGTTTGGTGGCTTGACGACAAAGTTTAATCATGCTTCCTTGATAAAGACGAGGGCCATAGAGGTGCATGTGATTAAGGGTAAAAGGATGCCCCTCGATCTCACTGATAAAGAATCAGAGAAGGAGCACGATCCTTCAAAAAGATGGGTGGATTTGGCCCAGAGTGACATCGTACCTTTTGTAAAAGGCAACGATGATAGGGTCCAATGGACTTATTGTGAAGGGGTAGGTGTAGATAGTCAGATACCCCTCCTTGTAAGTAGTGATGGATTCTTTGGGGATAGGCACCACGACGTCCTTGCCTACCCAACTGCACTTATTTTTCACCTTCTCGAGGAGGCGTTCGGTAATCGTACACATATACCTCGACATGTGTTCACATCGACCTGGTGTCGAAGGTGTGTTCTCCACATTGAAATAAGCAGTAGTGGCACACTTCGTCGGAATGAAGTCTGCAAGAGAGAATTCCTTCGCAGCGGCGGCACCAACGGACTTTGATGAAGAGGCAGTTTCTTTTTGTGGTACAGTTTTTGACGTTTTCGCCATTTTGGGTTTGAGTTTGAAGAAAGAAAAAGAAAATAAGACTTGGTATTTTGAGAGAGGGTTAACAACAAAACCTGAAGATTTTGCAGAACGAAAAAAATTAAAAGATGTAAAAAGCTTTGGAGATTAGCAGAAATTGAAAGTAAAGTTTGAATCAATGAGAAAAAGGCCTATTTATGGGCTTCACGGCGAAAGTTCGAAATCACTGGTGGCCGACCATCAATTGACACGCATTAAATGCTTGGGAAACTGCACCGACGGGATGTTCCGGTCACATCTGCCGCTTACGTTACGGGAATGACGTCATGACAGGTCGAGGATCAAAGGCTCAATTCGTTTCTTGTCATTATACTCCAAAAAATGAAGGGACTGTCTGTATACAGTTAAAATTGGGCCCACCCGATTTTGCTAATTTACCGAAACCAGTGTGAAGGATCAAAGATCGATCCCGTAATAGATCAGATCGAGGCATGAGGACAAGGTACCGAGTTCGAGATTCGAGGTACCTGTCAAGATCGAGACCGATAGTGATTGAGACCAAATGAGACCGACATCGAGCAAGATCGAAGATAACATAATAACATAAAGGCGAGATACCCGTGACTGGTCGAAGATCATGGCAGAAATCTCGGAACGGATCAAATCTAAGACGGTTAATTAGCTAATCATGGGATTTCCTTCTGTAATTAGAATTATACCATAATTAGAATTCCTCTACTATATAAAGAGGAGTTCCAATAATTTGTAAGAGACCTACATTCACGCATATCAAAGCAATATAATACTCTTTTGGCTTATATTATCTTGTTCATTAGTTTGCCTTATTTTTTTACTTGTTTTGGTATCAACCAGCTCGAGGGCATTCTAACTCGAGAGTCGAATTTCGTCTCAACACTAGTTTGCTTTACTTTATTGTTAATTTCTATCACTAATCTTCTTATTTATCGGTTGGTATTAGGTGAAATCACGTGTTCTTAAAATCATGTTATAAGTTTAATTGTTATCCAATTTTAAGGGTAAACTAATATATTTTGATCAAGAAAGGATTTGTAAACTACGTGAAGTGCGATGTAGAGAGAATATCTATGTTAACGAGAAAAAAGAAAGAAAGTCATGGTATAGAGGGAAATTACAGAGAAGCAAAGAGCAACTAAGAATATGGTTAAGTGGTAATTGGAGAAAATCATGAAAGATCATTGTTCGAATCCTAGTTGAGACGACATAAAAAAAA